ATGAATCTAACGACATCCCTACAGTTCAACACATACCTCGGCTCTAGGAATACTCTGACTGCTGCTTTCTGATGCAAACTAAACCCACGAGTACCAGTCACCAAACAGAGATGATCAACTGGAGTTCAGGCCACAGAAACACAGTCTCTTTATTTCTAGTCTCTGGGTCTGTTGCAGAGAGATCGCTGGTGATTGTGTTGAAGCTCGTGTATACAGTGTGAGAGGGGAAACTAAAAAGTTAGGCAAGTTGACAATGTGACGTTTTGAACAAAGCAGCCCTGGAAGCACTAGATAATGTGCTGCTTGAAGCATGAGAGACATGCAAGAGAGGGGATGTGTGTTTTTTTTGGAAACACTCCACAAGATGAAAGAGAGAGCTGCTTCATATCAGAAAGACAAAAACATCGTTGTACTGGACGACTACAACATGTTTTTTCTGACTTAATATCACTCTTTATTCAACAAAAATAAATTAATAATATTCAACATCTGCAATTTTGCCAGAGCTTATAAGAGTCACTGCAGAAGTTATTTTCTTTTGAGAAAATATGCAAATATGGTTTTGCAGCCGTAACAAGCTTCACTTTCAGGTAGATAAATTCTGATCTTGATTTTTTTCTCGCGCAGAGTTTTGCTGTTTTTCAGTTTTTCTATTCTTTGCATTCGTTTCCCCCACAGCCCAAAGTTAGTCCAATCGAGATGCTCGACTCGAGATGGTTTTCAGCCTGTTCGATGGACCTCAGCTCCTCGTGACCCTGACCACTAGTAGAACTAGCACTTTATGTACAGACTGTCTGAATTAAAATCCAGAGCATTCAGACCTGTCTTACATTAAGGTTTTATGAATTACACAAAGCTTTCATACAACACTGTGGTAAACAGCATTGTTGTGATTCATTCATTCAGCCGCTGAGTGCATGAAGCAGGTGGTGGAATAACACATTTCCAGGAAAATGTAGTGAAATGAACAGCGGGTCTCTTGGATGAAAGAACACAAAACTTCCTTTCAATCCTTAATATGATTACAAAAATAAATACCCATTCAAGGTGAAATCTCACTGAAACGTAATAAAGCAAAGATCACGTTGGGTGAACTATTCCATTATTAAAAAAACTAAATTCTCCTCATCCGACATTTAAATCCTCTTCAAAGCTAAGGTGAGGATTTTTTAATAAAATATTCGAATGTGAAAAATATTATTGACTTGAACTATAGGTTTGTGTGCAGTGGCAGGATGACAGTCAGGGTGATTTTACCATGATCGACTAATTTAGCGACATCTTTTACCGTCTGAGCCGAGGCCAAGAAAAAACGGATGGGTTCCACGGACAGATGGACGGTTTTACAACCAAACAATTAGAACAATATTGGTCATCTGTCGTTTAGGACCCAATAAAACTCAAAGATGAGGTTGTTTCTTGTTGTTTGTCTCAAATAAAATTTTGTGGGGGTGGGATCCCCTCAAATACTCAAATGGCAACCAAATGGATTTATGTAGATTTCATCAGTTCACAGAATAGTTCATTGTTGATCCCATATACATCATATACATATATCAGATCCACACGTTTCTTTATGACAGTACAATTACAGAAATGAAACAATCATCTGACCTAGTACATGAAAACACTGCCCTCTCCTGGACGTTTTTTGTCACTATGTGCTCTAATGATTCAAACTGTACATTCAATAATCGGGAGTCTGGTACATAAAGTTCCTAAAATATAATAATAATAATTTGGGATGTAATTAATGATTATCACCAAAGTTCAATTTTACGAGTGAGTTGTTTTCAGCCTGAGATTCAAGGGCAGACTCGAATTCGTTCAAGTCATTTTGAAGAAACCCTGTAAATCAGACTCCGGATGATGCCATCATCATATCTCAATATCTGAACAATGTTTTCCTGTTTCACCTCGTCTGGAAATGAAACAACTGTGATGAGAACACAGAGCCACAAGGGGCCACTTTGCTTGAAATAACCTAATCAGAGAAAGGCTCTTCATTTGGCTCCTGTCTGTGTTTAAGGGGCTGTTGACCCAGACAACACTCAAGACGCCATCTACCTCCAACAGTGGCTCACGCTGTCAAAGAAACATGAATGTGTTCTACTAATGTGCAACACGACGACAAGGTGCACATCCCTTCATTCCTGTGGTTTAATAATAATGAAACATAATGTGCGTTGTAATCTTCCAGTGTCTAAGATGACAAACCTCGGATGTCTAAACAACATTTTAATTTACAATCATAAAATAGATGACAGGCAACAAATCCTTACGCTTCAGAAGCTGGAGCCATGAAATGATATTCATTGATAATCAAAATGAATAATTTTCTTTTAATCAACAAATCTAATAACCAACTAACAACTTTAGCTTGATGTTTTAAAAAGCTTTAGGCCAGATAAAGAATTTTCATACATTTTAAGTTTCCTGTAACACTTGCTTATAAGGGAAACTTTAAAATGGCTTTGTAACTAATATTTTATGGATCATTTATAGATAGTTCATCAGCAATAAACAGTGAAAACAGCATTTGTAAACTTTTTAATTTTTGTAGTTCACTATTAAAGGGTTCTTTCATGGCAATTATCCCTCAAGTCTTGATTTTTTAAATATTTATAAGTTGAGGTAGGTCAAAAAGCTGTGGCAAGATTTATTCACAATAAAAATGACTGTAACAGTGATGTAACTGTTTTTCTGTGCAGTATGTGATCCAAAATTGCAGTTCACTGTACCTCCACAAGGTGGGAGTAGAGCTCAGAATATGACTTGTTGCATATGAATTCCAGGTATGCCTTTGTGATTTAAGATAGCAGCAGAAAATACCATCCTGGTTACAAGCGTCCAGTCTCCTCACTGAGCTATGATCAACACAATAACTCAGATTCCTCCGGGGATTTGTATTTTGAAATGAATCAGGTCAAAGAGTCATTTAAACAGAGGAGGCTGTTTCCATTGCATCAGTGGAGCGCTCGGCTGTGCCAGCGAGTTCCAGGAAGAAGCACAAAACCAAACATCGTCTCAGAGGAGACGGGAGCAGGTGTCACATCTGTCAAATCTCACATCTGCCTCTTTGCTTCCTTGTTTGTTTGTTTCCCTGTATGGGCCACATGGAGGATCAGAAACCAACAACATTGTTTTTTATCAGAGAAGTTCAAATTCCTATCTCTCACTGGTGGCTTTAGCACAACACAGGCTGTTGTGTCATATCTGTTTTATCAAGTGAGGTCATGGAGGATCAAGGAAATATGTGATGACACTGGGGTGTGTGTAACTCCCACCGCGTCATGAGGAAGTTTGTCAAGTCTGTTATTTAAAGGCTTACGTGGCAGGGAAATTTCAACGATACCGGATTACAAGGAAGGAGAAATAGTTTACACTTGTAGGAAAGAGACAGGATGAGATCAGTTTCTCAATACCTCATCTCATTTTGCTCCTCACCACGAAACACACAGCTTTAATCTTCACTCCAACTTTCAGCTAATGTAAAGGAAATCTTATGGTAAAAAAAAAAAAAAGAGCCACCTACCAACACTGAAAGCTCACAAATTCAAATCAATCAATTTAAAACCAAAGTATATAAAAGACATAGTATTTTTTAATTTTTTTTAATGATAATTGTGTTTGCTTTAAAGATTTCGGTCGACAGTTTTTGTTTCCTTTGGGCTCACTATTTTCATATTTTTGATGGAAGCCAAACTAAGCTGACTGTCCACTAGCAGTACATAGTCCTCCACATTAGCAGATGGGACAACGACCAACTAAAAAGTGAAAGTACACGTCAACCACATTTCCTCAAAGATGGCTTCTGTCATTGTAGGTGGTTGTTTGTTTGAGTGTTTATTTTTCAAGGAAGTTTTCAGTTAAGCTTTAAATTCATTTTTGATGATATAAAAATGGGACAAAACGATTGATAGCTGTGAGTGACGTGATTGGTTGAGCGTGTATTTTGGCGGGACCACGCTACCACGGCTCCATCCCCTGGTAGCTAATGTGCAGACTCTGGCGTCAAATGCACCATTGCCATTGAATCTGGGAAATGTCAGCTTTATTTCTGGACAGTGGGAGGATGTAGAGACACATCCTCCACCATATATGGTCGTGACAGACAGAGTGAAGAAAATGCGACCCCAAAGCAAACTTCCTCACACACTTTTCCACAACCAATCTCTCGTCCCAATCCAATGACTTGATATTTTTACTAGACCCATTATTAGCCTACTTTTTACGGGCCCTGTTGTCGTCCACGGCTCTGGTTGTTATGCATGTTAGGCAATCGTCAGTTTGGCAACTTCCCAGCATCTGAGGCACTCCAGCTACCCTCCTGACACCTAATCTGACTCTTGTGCTCTCTCACACATACACACAACACACACACAAATGCAGACATGCAGGCAGGTATGTGCATGTACACACGCACACCCAACGCTTACGCAAGCACCAACCAGTTATGCCAAGGGTAGTCATAACACACATAGAGCGTAAACATGCCAAGCACTTATAGGTCAAACCGTGATTCACAAGAAAAACTGGATTAAAGTTTTATTTGAGTGTAAATGGTGCTGGCGTTTAATGTTTGATGAGTTGACCTTGAGTTCCATCCGTTACTGCTGAGGCTAAAGAAAAAAAACAAAAAAGAACAAGTGCTTGCTCTCCCTCACGTATTCCAGGAAAAGACGCTGACCCATTATTGACATTTGTGTGTTTGAGGAGTTAAATGTTACATTACTCAAAGGTCAGAGAAGAGTAAATGGTTGGAGGCAGAAATGGAGAGAGGGAGAGTTTTTTTTTTCACTTGCGATGATGGATTTGAAAGCACTGGGGGAAATGAGAAAGTGATGAACAGCCATGTGCAGAGAATTCTTGCAGGGAAACCTCTGAGGCATGCGGTCGAGCTGTGTAATACGCAGGTGTTTGCAAGGCTTTGTGTGTGTGTGTGTGAAAGAGAAAAAGAGAGAAGAAGACTAGCCGCAGTAATGATGAAAAAATCTGTATGAAAATGAAAAACTGATTTTTATTCAACTTCTCCACACATGTTTCAAATATACAGTACATATTTACATCTTTTTATACAATGAATATAACTCTTGTGTGTAACCTGTCTTGACCAATAAAAAGCCCAAAGGTTCTGTCACAAATACATAATTCACAGTGCAATATGAAGTTTGTGCACCCGTGTCCGTTCACTCTACACGTCACATGAACGTGTGACTCACTAATGAAAATCCTAAACCTCATAAATTACTTTCTCTGTGAGGAACAACCCAGATTGTCACAAGTCTGTTCTAATCTGGTATTTCAGGCAGACGAGAGGAAATATTGAAACGTGGTATTAGCCTACTGCTTGACCAAATGCACAGCGCTCCTCAGATATGCCAGATTTAGTACCATTGTCAAAATTATTGTACCAGATTGAAATAGCTGGCTGCAGACCTGCAGTAAGGCTAAACGTCACTGAAACGCTGCATCTGTCTGTCACAATCCAAAGAAAAGATCATTTAGAAGGTGGTACATCATGTCCCTAACTCAGATGACTAGTCTCCGTGGATCCACAGCTTTCAACGGCAGAAATAAAAAAATTTTAAAAAAGGAAAGGGAAAGAAAATGTACCATTAAAGAGGTGAAACAGTCGGAACAGATTCTTCCTGCCAAGGTCAGGACCATTCTCTGCAGACACGCTCGAGCGTTGAGTCATCATCAGACAACCAACATCAAACATCGCCTGACTGTGACTGATTCAGAGCCGTTCAGTTTATGAAACACAGTGATACAGGCACAACACTCAGCACAGCCTGGCCCTGTTAAAGCAACACAGCTTGATACAATGTTCCAACAGAAATGAAGTGAACGAGTCCAAATCTCTTCGTTTTTCTGTAATATGTTTGATTTGGTTGTTCTTTAACTGGATATTTCTTTAAATAATACAGGTATTGTTGGACTGAGAGAAAAGGCAGACTGTACCGGTGGGAAATACCTCTTGAATTCTCTGTGTTTTCACTTTGTCCCTGTAAAATGGCTATAGGCTTAGGAATTCAACATCTGTCTCCTACCTCTGTTTCTGCTGAGGCAGATGATTGAGGCTTTAAAACCCGAATTGCTCGCTTTTATTTTTAAACCATATGCTTTAGTGTTAAATTTGGATTTGTGTCTAATTGCAAGCAGAGCAGACACAGTGAAATTGACAAGGTTCGACCCTGTTAATCGACACTTTTACATTAAATATACAGTATGGAGCATGCTTCCAAATAAAAGCTTAAGGATTTCGTTTTAACTGTTGGCCTAGCGTCACACTTTCTGAGAATGTGTTTGTGTGACAAACTCGTCCCACTTTTCTCGTAAGTCTTGCACCAGTAACACCCTGCCTTTCTCAACCTTCTGTGCATGGTGTGAGATTTGTAAATGCTCTCCATTTGCTGAGAGGTTGGCAGATTGGCATCGAGACACTGTCGTGGCGTAACGCAGAGTGTGACGCATCAGTCCGCTGCGGAGCATCTTTCGCACTCTGTGTCACCGCCTGATGTGAGACGTCAGGCTTGTGTGAAGGCCTTCCTCAAGCCGCTTGGTGAGTCAGTCGCTGAAGCCTCCAGCCCGGTCAGAGGGTGAGAGGAGCAACATCCTGATATCCTCGCCTCCCCTTCAGGAATAATCTACTGCTTTCTGGAGCCTTATGAGTCCAGGCGCTGGTGACCACTGTTTGCCATGAGTCACATCTCTGTGATTCACCCATCACAGCCTGCAGAGATTATTTTCTTAACATAATCTGGCAAGTTTGAGTCCTTGTTATTTCTTTTAGCACCAAATAATTTCAAAAACGCATAGAAACACAATGAATGATCATTGTGAGCAATGCCCTTAGCAAGTAACACATATACGACAACAAAATACAGTACAGTAAGTTTTAGTCGAAAGTTTGAGGGTGTATGTACACACAACAGTAGACAACTGACTTTCTAAAAAGTGCCAATGTAAAGAAAAAAAATGACGATGAATCCCTCATTTTGTTTTGGTCCCTTAGCCAGACTTTGCTGAATCAAGTCCGTCAGCAGAACAAATCATCCTCCTCTTCGACGTCAAAGGATGGCACCATCTGCTCCGCCGAGCTCACTTCCTGTTCACCCAGGACCCCTTCCTGCGACGAAGGCGGCTGGTGGAACCACGGATGGACGAGCAGCTCGGCTGCCGTGAGTCTCTCCCAGGGTTCTTTCCTCAGAAGGCTCTGGAGCAGACATTTGGCCTTGGTTGACAAGCCCTCTGGCAAACAGCACTGGCCTCTGCGGATTTTGGAAAAAAGCGTGGCCGGGTCTGGGTCGTGGAAGGGGTAGCGGCCAACCAGCATGGTGTATAGCATGACTCCCAGGCTCCACATGTCTGCCATCTTGCCGGAGTAAGGCGCTGAGCCGCTGAGGATCTCCGGGCTGACGTAAGCGGGGCAGCCATGGGTGTCTGACATGGAGTCGTTGTTTGGGTCTTCCAGGACGCGACAGTCCTCGAGGCTTTCGAGTCTCACCTGTGTCCTGTGAACAAAAAAGACACAATGAGGTCAGAAAAATTTGGCATGACCTTTAAAAGCATCAAAAATGTCTGTTGGCTTTTTGTCCTCTTAGCCTCACTCCCACTTTGACACAACTGCTGCTTCAAGCGAGCGCTGTAGTCCTGCTGTGAATTAGGAGTGCTGAGAGAGATGCCATGGCAATGACGTAATCTGCTATCTTGTACAAGAAACTTATCACATAAGAACATTGTGTTCATAACCTCATGCAAATCTGCATTTCTGAAGTAGATCGCTTTTGCTGAATGTCATGCTGAAAATTATGTTCCCTGTGTTCCCATGTGAGACAACTTGCAAAGCAGACAGGACATTCTTTGATTTGATATGCCACTGAGTGACACACTGCGTGCGCATGTGCGCGCGCATGTGTCTATTTCCATCAGTGACTTTGTTTAACACTGTCAAACATTTCAGAGATCTGTTAAATGTAAGTCACTTATTGCATCATGGAAAAACAAGCATCTCCTTTATCCTTAAGCTGCGGACAGACAGATGGATGTACAGACAAACAAAGATAAATGAAGCACGCACACACACACACACACACACA